AAAATACTGCAGCAGGACACGAGGGTTGCTGCCATACTGGGGGCAATTCAGCAGGGGATGCTTTCCCCTGCTTAAGGGCTATTTCAGTGTTACAGCAAGGTATTGAGGGATCCTGGTGCAGGACCATGGGATTGAAGGCAACGTAAGTGGCATAGAACCATGTGGACTTTGGGCTGGCTGGCTGCTGCTGCCCCAGGCCCTTTCTGCTGCACCCTGAGAGACTTTACATTGCTCTGCGCTTTGCTACAAGTTGCTGTGACTGAAGGTATCTGGCTGCCCTCTGTGTGTGGGATTTGTGCAGGGAGTGGCTAGGATTCTTTTCTTTGTCCCCAGAGGTGATAAATGTAGGGGGTCTGCCATGTTTAAGAGGTAAGCCAGCTGTACCAACACCAATAATGCTTACGTCTGCCACTTGCAGGCAATCCAGGGTAGAAGAGATGGCTGGGAGCACCTGGCTTTTCCCAACAGGAGGCACTGTAGAGAGCCATCAAGAGAGCACTTCTACACCTGTTCCAGGTTTTACAAGCTGGGCAGGCTGTAGGGAGTGATGCAGGGGAGCTCTGAGCCTCCCCTCAGCCTGCAACACCGAGCATGTGAAGGCTGGGTGCTTCTGTGGGTGATCACTGGCTGCATGCAGAGAAACACTTACAAGGCAGAGGTCTTGACGTAGCTGGTGTTGTGCCGAGGCTTGGGGCACTCAGGGCGCACGCATCGGAACCCTCCAAAGACATTCACACAGATCTCACCGCGGCTGCAGTTGTGCTGGCTGTTGGTGCATTCATCCACATCTGGCAAAGCAAACAGAACCCAGAGCCTCGACTGAGTATGGTGGGGACTTTACTGGCAGGAGAAATACCATGACTACTAAGGCGGTTTTCCTAGTCACTGGGGGTAACTGTTTTTCTGGCATGGGGTAGTACCCACAGAGGTAATCTATAGTTAACCTCCCACTTTCATTTCCAGGGGGAAGATCCTGGCTTTATGCCCACTTTATGGAAATGGGAGACTCCTCCCTAGCTTGCTCCTGTGATCATATGGCTGAGGGCAAGCGAAACTCCAGGGCATCCGAACTCTAAACCTCCGAGCTTGGGCCTGCATGTAGGATACCTGCCAAATGATTTGGAAGCTTCTGAAACCCCAGGTGGGGGTGGAGGATGTTTGCTGGTAGTAGGGCCACATATGGTTTGTGAATGACTTACGGATTTGGAATTGATTTGGCTGATTTGGCTTGGAACATTTTCCTTAAAAAACGAAAAACCTTACACAGCGGAGCCAAGGCCCAGTCCCACCTGTGTTCTGCCTGGAGCTGCTCCTCACTGGTATCTGGATAGTCTCTTTTGGGCCAAGCTGTCACATACAGCTCCATTCAGCCCCTGCAGGGGAGCATGATTGGTCATTTTACCCTATTTTGGGTCCCCGAGGGGCTGTGGGGCAGGATGGTACCAGGATTAAGTGTGGTGCTAAGTCAGGGCATATGGGCACCAGCGGAGGCTTCACAATGAACATGATGCTGAGCTAAGTGCTTAGGAGGAGGCCATGGCCTAGGGCTGAGAGTGGGAAGGCTCCCTGGGGCTGGACCCTTGGGAATCTCGGTGTTCCCCTCGGAACCAATGTTGCAACAGGGCAGAAGGAGGTGCTGTGCTGTGGGCAATGGTAACCATAATTCAGGAGGAAGGTCTCGCCTATGTCAGGGCTGATGTCAGAGGCACCAAACCACTAGGAGCTCTGGGGGTTCCCCTCCTCTGAGTTGTCAAACCAGTTGTTGCCCCGGATGGTCAGAGTACCTTGCACTGACATGCAACAAGGGGCCACAACAGAAGACAGTTCTGTTCCTCTGCCAAATCCCAAACACTCCTGGTGGGTGACAGATTCCCTACAAACACACAGAGGAGGTTTCTTACCATTGCAGGTATTCAAGTCTGTGTTGAGCAGGTAGCCCTGGGGGCAGATGCAGCGGTAGGAGCCCGGCAGGTTGACACAGTCGTGAACACAGATACGGGTCTGCCAGCTGGACTGGAACAACTGGCACTCATCAACATCTGGAAGCAAAGCAGAAATGCTGACCACTAGGGCACGGAGATGGCTAGAAGTGATGGCAGCTCATGGCACAATGACCACTTCCAATAGGACAGCTCCCAGCTCAGGCATTCGTAGCCTGGCCTGGGTAGTGTCAAAAATGTCCCTCTGCCTCTGCCCCCAGTCAGGTCCCCTGGCATATCCCAGTGCCACACAATAGACTTCCTTCCGGCATTCTCTCACAAAAACTATGCTCCTCCTGGTTCTGACAAACCAACTCCTTTGGGCACCCATGAGTGCTGATCCCACTCCCTGTGCAGGTAAAGTGAGCCCCAGGGCCCCACAGGTGCTGGGGATCACATTCTCTGGACTGAGGCAGGGATTGGGTGGGCATTTCCCCCTGGTTACCCTCCTGTCTTCAGTGTCTATCATTGTTTCCTAGGGCTCAGGCTCCTCCTTTCTCCACACAAACTGGACATTCTCTATCCTGACCACCCCTACCCTTGCCTCACCACTGATTTTTTTTGCAGGGAAAACAGTCCTCATGACCTAGCAGGGGCCTGCCACCACTGGAGCTGCTCACCTTGGTGGCCCCAGAGCAATGGTGCCTCCCTCAGCACAGGGGACACCAGCTGTCAGAGTCACACAGATGCAAAAAGCCTGTGGCAGTATTCATGGGCCTCAGTAGGGAGTGGATCTGCAAGGAGGCCAGAGAATGAGGAGGCCTTGCAGCCCAAGGCTGATGAGGGAGAGGGGCTTGTAAGAGAGGTGTGTGCTCAGGCAGCTGCAGGGGAAGCCTCATTACCTTGGCACATGCCACTGGCCTTCATCTGGAAGCCTGTGTCACAGCTGCACTGGCGGGAGCCCAGCAGGTTGTCAGCACAGCGGGGCTGCCGACTGAAGGAGGAGTTGCTGAGCGTCACCCAGTCTGCGGCAGCAGGAGAAAGATGGTGGTGAGTTTGCCTGGCTGACGTCATGCTAGAGGGTTGGGGCATAGGCTGAACTAGACTCTGCAGCCCATGCCCAGGCCAGGGGAGGAGTCCAGAGGTGCAGAGTCCCAGCATGAGCCACAACACATGCCTTGCCAAACACACTGATTTTCCCAGGCATGATTGTCAGAGACAAGTGGCCTCCTGCCTCCTGCTCTGGTACCTTACTGAGGGCCAAGGGCAGAAACCTTCCTCCCTGCTCTCCCCAGGCTGAGCCAAGATGTTTGTCCCTAGCATGATGCCACCACTTAGGAGGATGGGCAGACGGCTTCAGTGAAACCTAGGTTGGGATCAAAGCTATGGGAGAGTATGGCTGGAGCAGCTATGGGTCAGGATGGCGATGTGTGAGCATAGATGAAGATGAAGAGCTAAGCCTGACATGGCAGGTGGTGGCAAGGATCTTGGCTGGGATTGGCAGAACTTGGGGAGAAGCTTTGGGTCCTGTCAACTTCACCTCTCCCAGGATGTCACCATGGTTATCCAGCAACACAACACTATGGGAATATCCAGGCCTGTGCATGTGTACACACATACACACACACGCGCACACACACACACACACGCACACAATAACTGGGAATGACCTATGCCAGTACTGCCCTGTCAGGAACTGTCTGGGGCGACTGCTGAAGACTTACAGGAATACACTGGGCTCTGGCAGTTGCTGCCTGACCAGCCGCTGGGGCACAGGCAGGTGTAGCGCTCAATGCCATCTACACAGGTCCCGCCATTGGCACAGGGGTTGCTAGCACAGTCATTGATACCTGAGGGGGAGAGAGAGAGAGACTTTCTATAGACAGTCAACAATTTTGAGTCTGGGGGAAATGTTAACATACAGAAACAGAGGTGACAGGGGCAATGTGGTTTTCAGTGCCCTCTTTGATGCCTCCCCTTCTGATCCAGTCTATAAACACCTGATGTGCTATTACCGTGATGTCTGATCAGCACTGCAGATACCGCTCCCCTCCTATTCATTCTCTCCAAATACTGGTCCCTGTAAACATCTTGATCTGAACCCCTCCCCCAAGCTGGCTCCGAGCTGTGTGCCACCCTGCAGGGGAGTCATGGGTCAGGGCGCAGGCGTTTGGCAGGGTTGGTGAGAATTTGCGGCAGGGTGAAGGCTCAGGGACCATTTGAGATGGAATCTGCTTTGGAGTGATGCCTTGGAGTCAGTGTGAGGTGAAGCTGTGAGGCTGGTTTAGGAGGAAGTCTTGGCACCCAAGGTGGCATGTGATCTGCTTTGAGTTGAAGGCTCAGGGATGCTGTGAGGTGGCAAAGCCAGGGTGAAATCCATTTTGGGGTGAAGGTTCAGGGTTGATGGGAAGTTTGAACAAAGTGCATCAGTTCCCAGCCTCTGGACCTGCCTGCCCCCTCTGACAACTCCCACCAGGGAGCCCAGCCCAGTCTGCCCCCCTCCCATCTCAGGTCTGCCCAGACATGAAGCCCTGAGTGGCCCCTGCCTCATGGGCCAGTACTTCACTTTTGCAGAAGGGCTGCTGCCCACTCCATGTCCGGTTGTCCAGGCAGGTGCGCGTCTCCGAGCCCACCAGGTGAAAGCCAGCATCGCACAGGAAGTGCACCTCGTGCCCCACCAGGGCTTTCCTGCCCAGCTTCCTGCCATTCATGGGCACTGCCAGGTGAGGGCAGCTGTCTGAGACACAGAAAGGGGGTAGGTTAGAAAAGAGCCAGGCCGTCCAGCCCTGCATGGTGCTCACCATGGGCCTCACTGCCTGAGCTCCCACCCCCGTCTCTGAATGGGGAGCAGCAGAACCATAGGGGGAGCATCATCTCCTGTGGAAGTGATCTGATGGGGTCATTTACATATGCAAATAAGATGCTGCCTTATATACCCATATGAATGAGCTGCTCTCTTCCTTGGCTCCATTAGTCCCTGGCTTTTGGTGGCTTTGACTTGGAACACATTGTGGTAACTTCTTCTCAGGCTCTTCTGGAATAGCTGCCCCTCCTGGCATCTGAGCCCCCCAGCTTACTGTGAGGAGATCTGACCCACCGTGGGTGATACTGTGGCAGCTGGGCTAGGGACCACAGAAAACCTCCTCCCTTCCTCCCTCTGCTGCCATACAGTGCCCCTCTCCCACCACTAGTGCAAATACTGCAGAGCCAGCAGAACCAGGATCCTTCCTAAGAACACCTGCAGCTCCTGCTCTGGAGTCCCTCCTGCCATAGCCTTGAAGCTTGCCCTAGCTTTCAGGGCAGCACATGGAGAGGCAAGCCAAGTCAGAGGGGCAGAAGGCTCCCCAGGATCCCTTGTTAGTAGTCCTTACACCTAGACTCCAATTGCTTCTCAGCCTTTTGGCTCAGATCAAGGAGAAATACTACGATCGCCAGGCTGAGATCACCTTGAATGGTATTGTGTAGTTAAAGGTGGACTGCGGGCAGTCCCCCGCCCCAAACAGTCTACTATAGCCTCCCAATGGAGGCTATATATTTATGGAGATGGGGGATTTTCCCTTATCTTGCTCTGTTGGCCTTTTGGCTAAAGGCAGCTAAGACTCAGGAGCATCTGAACTAGGCCTCCAGGCTTGGGGTATGCATGTAGGATGTCTGCCATGGGTTTGAGAGTATCTGAAGCTCCCAGCTGAAAAGTCTGGGAGGAAGGATACTTGCCGGTGGTAGTACCACCCAGACTTAAACGACTGAATTCTGCTCAGGCGACAGAATTTGGAACTGATTTGGCTGATTTGGCCTGAGAGACAAAATTTAAACAAACAAACAAACACAATTGATTGAAGATCGCTTCAGGCTAGATGTAAGGAAAAGCTTCTTTACAAGCCGAGGGTTTGGAACAGGCTCCCCCCAGAAGTGGTACAGTCATCCACCCTGGTGATCTTCAAAAAATGTCTTGATGCCCATCTTTCTGGGGTCATCTGACCCCAGCAGTATTTCCTGCCCAAGTACAGGAGACCTGATAATCTGTAAAGTCCCTTTCATCCCCTAACAACTATGAGATTATGAAAAAACCCAACTAGACTCCAATGTCCATGCCCTGGCCTGCTAACTTAAAGCCTAGCAGTCATATTGGCAGGGCAATGGAAGTCCATCTCTAAGCTCCCCTGAGCTCCCTGCAGGACAGATCATTCAGGACCTCAGGTCACTCATTAGTAACCCTGCTGGTCCTTGCAGTGACTGAATCCAATGCCACTCACTCTGAGGGAGGACTCTACACAATTCTCTGCTGGCACAACACTCTGGGAGTCAGATGAGCATTGCACAGTGACAGTCCCAGGTGGTGTTTGTTGCCAGTAACTGCTGGGCACCAGCATGGCATAACTGGCTACTGGTTACCAATCCAGGTGGCACTTGTAGCTGGTAGTTGTCGGTTCTGCATGGCACTTGTGGTTGGTAGAGACTAGACCAGGCTGGCACTGGTTGCCAGTAGTCACTGGTTTCCTGTGACACCAGTGACTGGTAGTGACTGGTTCCACAGGGTGCCAGTGGCTGGTTTTTACAGGTCCCAAGTGGTGCCAATGGCTGGGAGGCACATGTGCTGCCTGATGGGTGTTACCATTGCGTTTGGTGGCCTGTTTGTGAACACTGCTCTGCAGGACAGTGAGTTGCTTCTTGAGGTTTCTCATCCCCTGCAGCTGGGCAGCCTCCTGGGTAGATAGCAGCTTCTGCATCTGCCGAATGGTGCTCAGCACCTGGCGCTTACTCAGACAGCCCTGGGAAAAAGCCCACGTATCAGGAAAGGGGCAGTTCTCAGCAGAGTCTGTCGAAGTCCCCCAGGTGACAGTGACCTGGGAGATACTCTCTCTCCCCAGCCCCCCACACCCACCACATGGAAAACTCTGCTAATTGGATCAGGTTTCCAAAGAAGCCCAAAAGGGACAAATTCTGGCTAAATGTGCTCCACCAGCGCAAGTGGCTAAATATGGCACACAGCTGGCTCCTAGAGGCTGTGAGGGTATGTGGGAGGAGAGCATATGTATGCATAACTGTTGTGAAGTATTATGGGGTTTGTGACATAGTGTGGTATTGGAGTAGGGTGTGGGAATGTGTGTGGAGGGGGTTGGGAGAAGAGTGCAGGGTTTGGGGGAGTGTGGTATGGGGCAGACCTCTCATGTGGTGTCCAGGGAAAGTGAAGATGTGCCTGTGATGTGGTGCTCTGTGAGGCAGGGCATGTTTGTGATGTGATGTGATGTGTGGTGATGGCATGTATGTGTATTTGTTATGGGGTATGGAGGGGATTGTGATGTGGTATGATGTTGGGCCAGGGTGTGGCAGTATATGTGGTCCACGTAGGTGTGTCAAGGATGTGTTGGTGTCCAGAAAGGGAGGGAGAGAGTGTGCTTATGCTATGATGTGTGCTGAGGCAGACTTCATGCTATTCAGGGCAGGGGCTGTGTGATGTGGAGCACAAGGAAGGAGAGTGAAAAGATGTCTGTGTAGGAAGGTTTGTGCAGTGTGAAGGCCACCTAAGCACAAGGGCCCCTCAAGCTAGTGTGGATAAAGCATACCCATTTCTGTAGCCAATGGTATACAAAGGTGGGATGTGGCTAACATTGCAAGTGCCTAATATCACATGTGCCTAACTTTGACCTCCCAACCCAGATGAGTCGATTCCTGTTCACAGCTGGCTCAATGGGGGCTGCCCTTTGGTACAACTCCAGTCAGGCTTGAGCTGTAGCAGGATGAACTGACCATTCAGCCACCGCACAGCACAAAGGTGAAGTGCAGGTCAGGGGAGGGTGGGCAGTGTCTGTCTGTGTTGAGTGGAGTGGGGAGTGTGCGGTGTGTGGGCAGCATGCACGGGAAGTGTGAGATGGTGCAGGGAAGGCATTAGCACCTGGGTAGCGAGGAGAGTGTGATTGTGTGTGCGCAATAAGGGAAGGGAAGGGTCTGTGTAACAGTGCAATAAAGAGGTGTGTGTGTGTGCATGTCTGTGCATGTAATGAGGAGTCTGCATAGTGCAGGGGGTGTTTTTGTGTTCAGGTGTGGGGGGATGTGTGGGGGCTTTGGCTCTTCCCCCTGTGACTGAACTTTGTGCCATAGCCCCTGGTATTCCCTTCTAGTGGGCCCTGCAGGTTCCTTCAGCCTCTTTACCTGGGCACTGCTGAGGGGCAGCTGCAGGAAGCACAGGGCTGCCAAGGTCGGCACCGTGAGGAACAGCATCATGCAGGAGCTGGTCCAGCTGAGATCCAGAAGCTGACTCCCTCTACTGCTGCCTCCCCTGCCGCTGCTACAGGAGGGAGACAGTAACTTGCTGGTGGGGATTGGCTCCAGCAGCCCCATCCCCGTGGCTCTATCCACACCTGGGTGTGTGGGGGCAAGGCAGGTCCTGGGCTTTTCCTCCCAATATTTCTCTGTGCTTTGTATTCTCACCTGTGAGCAGTGAGTAGCAGATAGTACGTTTTTCACCTTCTCTGCAGCCATGGCAGCTTACAGGGGCCACATCACCTACCTACCAGAGGAGCTTCACACAGGCACCATGCAGATGCTAAGAAACTGCAGAACTCTCCACATTTTGGTATAGAAGTTGGCACAACATTTTCCACCCCTAAGGGGGCTGTCCTGGACCCCACTCACCCCTTTCTTCCCCATCCCTCACCATGAGACTGCCCTGGTAAACAAGGCTCAGTTTTTCTGTGCCTAGCCGAAGACGAAGCTTTGGGGGGCTGCCTTTCCCCACCGGCCTTGGGCAGACCCAGGGTGGGCTGGGCTGCTCTCCCAGGGTACAGAGGCTGCTCTGCATCTCCAAGACTGGTGTTGAAGGACTGCTCAGCCCCGCTCATTTCAGAGGTGTCCTCATCTTAGGGCCTGCGTCAAAACAAGCCCATCCTTAGAAGGGCCTTATGTTGGGAAGGTCCTTCTTCCTCCCATCCCACCCTCTGTCCAGGGGAATTTGATTGTATTTCCCCTCCTAGTCCCAGAAAGGCAAGAGATTGAACCTTCTTCCCCTGGGCAGGGGCCAAACAAAGAGACCTGCCAAAGGTCTGCCCTCAGAGGAGCCCTGGGCGATGCTGCTCCCCTCCCTTCCCTTGTTGCTGGAGAATGGGAGGGAGGGGGAGAGGATCTCGGCACTGAGAACAAAAAAGAAAGGCACACAGACCTAGATGGCTCCTGTGGAGTCTCCTCAGGTCCTGCTCAGCTGCTGCAGCCTCTGGGAGGTCAGGGATGAGAAGAATAACCGCCCCGTAGCCGGGCTCCCAGGGGCCTTTCCCTGGTGCGTGAGGGAGGGAGAGGTAGTCAGTTTGTTGGTAAGATGCAGGCTTCTCGCTGGCGTCCCTTCCCTTCCTGCCTCCCGCCCTCCCCACCACTCGCTGGGATTTATCCTCCCCGAATGTGTGTGTGTTTGTTGGTTTTTCCCCTGGCTAAGGCGGAGGGAGGGCAGCGAGCGGTAGGAAACTTTTCCCTTGGCACCAGCACCAGCCTCTCCTCTCCCTCTCTCCCTCTAGATCAGAAGGTTACAGGCCTTTCATCTATTGAATCCCTTGCAAATGCTGCTCCCACAACCAGAGAGCAGCTTCCCCCTGAGGGACAGTATCCTGTGATGGCCCATGAAGTGACGGGGGGGATGGTGTTACCCCATGGCAGAAGCAGGGGATACCCCCTCCCCTTTCCTCCACCCGTTTTCATTAGCAGTTGCTGTGTCATCTTTGTTCTCTAGTTCACCCTCTCGCTACATAGCCACTCTACCCCTGGAGCCTGTTGCTGTCTCGCTGGACCAAGGCGCTGCATCCCTGCAGCACGTGGGAGTCTGTGGCGTGATCCTAATCAGGGCCCGATCCAAAGCCCATTCTAACCCACTCCCAGACTCATGAACAACATGTGGCCCCGGCAGCTGGGGAGCACAGTGGCGGCAGGAGTGCGGCAGCGGTAAGTGGGGGAGCTCCCGCAGATGCTGCCAGCAGTGTCAGGGCTGGGGGTGGTGGGGGGTGGTGAGTGCTGACCAGGGTTCGGCAACCACCCGCAGATGCTGCCGGCAGTGTTGGCGGTGGCCAGCGGGGATCGCAGACCGCCTGCAGACGAGCAGACAACCGGGGTGGTGAGTGGCGACCGCCCACAGGCGCTGCCAACACGGTCAGTGGTGCCTTTGTGTAGGGGGTGCACCGCTACACTCAGGGGGTGCACGTGGACCCGTGTGCACCCCGTATGCATCGCCCCTGCCCAGACTGTCACTGATTTCATCCACCTTTGGAGCAGGCTAGAGGCCACAGCTTCTTCAAGGCATTTGTCTATACTATGCCATGAAAATGTGTTTAGTCACATCTAAGCACTACCAGGGTAAAATGGTGCCTGCCACAGGCTGGCAGTCTCTGGGAAGGTTGTTGGAGGTCTGTGGAAAAAAAACCAACAGGTAGCCCAAAAGTTAATTTATACAAATGCTGTTACAAATGCACTGAGAAAGGACAGAGATCGGGGAAAAAAACAATAAATACTTCAATAAATGAAATAGGATGAAATAAACAACTGGAAGTGGCTGAGGCATCAAGCTCCTGTTTAAGTCTGTTCAGCAAGGGAAATAAAGAGAAGTTTATACAAGAAGGCCCAGATTTCAAAGTGCTCAGAACCCATAATCCAGGCCAGATTTTGAAATGGTCTTGGCTTCCTTTTAGACATCTAAATAAATGCCTGTTTGTCAGAAGTGCCTACAATCCCCATTGTGATGGTTATGTTTAGCTTTTCAGAAGAGTTGTCCCCACCTACCCATACCAAGCCTCTCATTTTGTATTCCTCAATATATAAAAGCACTCCTGGGCAGTATCAGTGCTAGTTAGAGCCTCGGATGACAGGGGATGTTAGAGGTAGGGCTTTTTATTCAGTGCTTCCCAAGATTTTATTCTTATTTAATTCGGATTAACTGGGCTGTGAGTGGCATGGGCTTGAAACTGATTGATGGACCATAACATTTTTCTCTAAGCAAAACTTATGGAAGGAGACTAAGCACTGGGCTGTTGGGATGTCTCTAGGGAGAAACCACAGGGAAATGTATAAGGTACAGGCTTATTTAAAGATGTCATAAATGGTCTGGAGGAAGATGAATGAAATTCATGGATGAAACCTACTGGAAGGATTTGCCAACTCCAGTGAGAGAGATTGGAAACCCCAGCAGGGCAAAAAGATAAGATTCAACTTAAAAAATGCACATCAGCATATTCAAGGGAAGGAAAATAAGCAAGAACACCTGTTCCAAGGGGGGGTGGGGGGGTGGCATGGAGATTCCTGAGAAACAACAAGGAGATTCAGAAGCAGGAGAGTTTGCAGTGAGACCTGATAACAAAAAGGCCAAGTGTACTTCTGGGTGGGACATAGAATAAATGAGCCTTCTGTCTATGGCTTTGGAATGACCACATCTAGAACATCTAAACAGCTTGTCTTGGATCCACATTGCCCAAAATATACTGATAAATTAGAGGGAGTTCAGAGAGGAGCAGTAAAAATACTTAGGGTGTGGAGGGGCTGGCTGATGTGGGGAGCTCAGAAGAGCTGCAGTTTGCCAAGAGATGAATGAGGGGGTACTAATGTTGGTCTACAAATATTTCAAGGGTATAAACAGGAAGAGTTACTCTAAAAAGGGCTCGCATAGATCAAAGCAATTTAGGCTTAATGGCAGGGACAACACCCTCCCAGGGAACTCTATGGCTAGGGATAGACATTCAAAAAACCTGAGCCTGAATTGATTCAATTTTTGCAGGTTAGTCTAACCTCCAAAGCTAGAACTTATTTGGAGGTGGATAGACATTCCCTTTTCATTCCAGAAATGCAGGCATATGCCTGCAATAGCTCAGGCTAGAAGCTGGGGGGCACTAGAGCAGCCCTCCCTTCCCTTTCACAGTGCTGAGTTGAGGTGGGGGGCATGGTCAGGCCTGGGCAAGATGGTCTGATTAGGGAGGGGTCCCCCCCAGTAGCCCAGCTGGGAGTTGATAACACAGTGTTTATCACCCCTAACTCAGTGTTTATCAGCCCATTAAGAAAACAAGAGCTTCTCTCATTAGTTTAAGCTCTTCTTAAACAACTTTTTTCCAAGGAAGGAATGGAGTGAAAGAGAAACGTTACTAACTACCTGTTGATTAGCTCCAAAAAGCCCTAAGCTAATACTGTCCTGCCTGCTTTTTTTCTGTCTCCCACAACACAGACCATAACCAGCATGCGGTATGCTAGCTAATGCTAAGAGGTGTCTATGTAAGGCAGAGGGGAGGGGAGAATCCCTGTTTCAGCAGGGAGTGGTGAAGGGAAGGGGGGGAGCAGGAGGAGACCAGGCAGATGCGCTGTACATGCAGTCTCTGCTGCAGCTGCAGCCAGGGAGCAGAGGGGAGGGGCCAGCACAGCTGTCTGGAGCAGAGAATGCTGCCAAGTACAGAGAGCATGCCAGGATGCTGAGGGACTCTGATTTAATTTAAAATAGGAAGGGGTCTGGGACAGACATTGTATAAACTGGTTTGAGCCAAATCAGTTAAGTCTGATACCACATTCAACCAGATTTATCTCAAACCGGTTTTCAGCCATTTTCAAACTGGTTTATGTGCACTGAACATCTGCTATGTTACAGGTTGAAACCAGTTTTTGATCACTTAAACCGGTCTATGTGTAATGTCTATCCCTAGCCTACGGAATATTCTCCCAAGGGCAGGGGCAAAACCCCATCACTGAGAGATGTGGAAAGCTAGATGAATTTACAGCTGGTTTAGAGAGAACCCTATTAAATGCACAATAAAGGATGGTCCTGCTAGCCAGGGAGCTGGGCTAAGTGACATCTAAGAAACTCTCTGTCTCTAGATGCTTTGATTTGGGTACTTCATAGGGACCATATTGTGAACACCTTACTCCCGTTGGTGAGTTGTGCTTTACCTGGGTGACCTTGTGCATCTCAGTGGAATGACTTGGGTGAGGAACTGCTCACAAATGGGAAAAAGAGCCCCGGAAGACAAAATGCATGATTTTTGGCCCAGAACTTGTGGCCTCATTGGCTTGTGATGGCTTTCAAATATTGCTAGGCTACCTTTTTATTTCAGATTATGATGAAGTAGCAGAAACATAGAAATTGCTACACTAGGTCATACCAGTAGCCTCTCCATGGGATCATAGCAATGGCCCATCCATTAGATCACAGCAGTGGCCTTTGCGTAAGATGACACCAATGCCCTTACCACTTAATGTCTTGGGTGGCCTTTCTACTAGATCCTGTCATTATCTTCTCCCCTCAAGCATTCTCCTCCTGTGAGGCATCCTATCCTCACAATGCCAAAACATGTTGTTGGGGGGAAGTTTCACCTGACATCATACCTTTGCTTATCCTGGAACACACCAGTAGTCTATCTATAGAAAAAAACCCAATGAATGCAAAAGAAACTCTGGGCCAGTTCAGTCCTCAGGTGAGGTTGTGCTGGAACTGGATAGCCAGGGCCTGCTGCTCCCAAATGCATTTAGAAGGAAAATCAAACACAGAGTTTTAGCAGTGAGGATAATTAGCCCCTGGAATTAACTCCTTAGGGAAGCAGCAAATTCTCCATGTCTTGATGTCTTCAAATAATGAGCAGCTGCTTTTCTCACAGATGAACTGTAGCCAAGCACAAGTCACTAGGTTCTGTGCAGACATTTGAGGGTTTTACAGAAGTCCAGGCTAGATGATCTAATTGTCTCATCTGATCTTGAACACCAAGAGTGACTCAACCAACCTGAACTGTCTGGAACAAGACTCAGCTGGCTTGGAGGTCACACTGTCTTCCAGGAGTATAAATACAGTGTATATGTAATGAAGTGTGCTAAATAACCCATTAAACTTGGCTGTGGGAGCCCAAAACATCCCCTGGGAAAGTCCCTGGCACTGGGGGCTTTGCCTTTGCAGAGGACTGCACTGCTGTCATGCCAGAAGGGGAAAAATCTCCTGAGCCTTTCATGTGTGTCCCTGTGTTTACCACTGCAGCAAGTTGCCCATGGAGATGACTTTTGGGAGTGCCAGCCTGCTCCTGAGGGAGGAATGTGTCTGGATGCCATTACTCCTACCTTCCTCTTGGCCCAGCTAGGCCAGGCTGAGCTGGGAGTTCCCTCTGCCTGGCTGTAGGGCAGGTGTTGAGCTGGGCTGCTTTGGAAGCATCTCCATGCCAAGTTCACTGGCAATCTTCAGCTGGCCAGAAAGAAACTCAAACTCTGACCTGCTCTCCAAGCACAGCCTGGCTCTGTAAGTGCTCCTTCAGTTCCCGCTGGAACTCACTTCCCTTCCTTCATGTCAGAATCAGGCAGGTTTTCACCCACAGAACTGAGACTAGATTCCCCTCTTACAGAATGATA